ATAATGGAATAAGCCAAGAAAAACTTCCCTCCTTGCATGTATGTTCAGTCCCAGCTTGTCTGGAGTTACAGCTGCACAAATGATTAAAAAATAGCACTGAAGAACTCGAAAAATCAAGAAAGAGCAAAGTTTAGGTCCCTTCTAATGCGATTGTTTTTCCTTGCAGACCTATGCCATGAGGGTGCCTTCAAAATCCAGGCATCAGCCACTGTTCAGCTGTAATGAGCAAAGTGTAACAGGGTCCAGTTACCTGCCCTTCCTACTGAAACCTGGCTCCTCCTATCTCCCCCGATTTTTTTTCTTGTCAGATTCTTCTTGCTGGGTCTTGCCACAGCTTTGTCTGAATAGCCAGTCATTGGTTACCCCATGAAACCTCTCATAGTGTCAGATTCAGCTCGGACATTTTTTTCCTTGCTCTGGGATTAATAAATAAACCAGGCTCTGGGAATGACTGGTACAAGGCTGTCTTCTCTTTCCTACCATTTTCTACATCTCATAGGCTTCCTGAGTTAGCAGCGGGTCCCCCCCACCATGGACAAGCTTTGTTTTGGTGCACAGGCCAAACATGCCAAAGCATTTATTAATTCTGAGCTGCTCGCTCTGCAGTGCTCTGTGGAGGGGGCTTCAAAAAATTGTAGGTTTAGCCACTTATGACGAGGCCCTTGGGAAATGAAAAACCCTTCAACTCCATTGTTTGTGCTAAGCTGGATTTGTTTCTCACCCAGAAATCAAGTTGGTGTGTTTTCCTGCCCTGTTTTGGGTTCTGTAGTGGCTGCTTCAGTTTCTGCTTAAGTCCAACAACAGCACTTCTGGACTGGGAATAAAATCCCAAGCTATAAAAGTTTGAGCTAGTTTGTGTTCAGTTCAACTCTGTGCTCCCTGTTGAATTTAGTGATTCAAGGGCAATCCTATAGACCTGACATGACTTTCAGACACTGATGTTGTGACTCTGAACCAAGGGGCACCACCACTGGACTTTCCTCCATGATCTCTTGCCTGAACTGGACCCTGGCCTGCCTTCACCATCACACCTGAGCTCCCCTGAGATGCTCTCTTTGCTGCCTGGTTTCTCTGCTTGTGCCTTCTCTGTCTCTCCTGTGTCTCTGCTGTTCCATCCAAGACTCAGCTGGGAGGCTGGGGAGACTGTGCTGACCTGGTACCTCCTGGAGCACTAGAGGGCACGAGGAGTTAGAGGAAGAGGACAAATTACACTGATGAGAATGGGGCTCCCCAGAGCTGCTGATGGCAGTGGGAAGCAGTGTGTGTATCCTCTTTCAGGGGATGATGGCTTTTATTCCATGGAAAGGTACATTGGGGTGGAAAGCATGACACAGGGAAGCCCTGATAAACCCCCAGGTATTTATCAGCATTAGTGGACAAGGACCAACCTTTAACTAAGCAAGGCCAATGGCTGCTATTCCATACCTCTCTCCTTATGCCCTCTGTGCAATTAACTCTACCTGAGACATGCTTAGTTTGGGGGATTTCAGTGGGGAAAGGAGAGGATTTTATCACCTATTTGACAGCATTGTGGATGTGGGCTGGTTTCTGGCTTGCCTCTCTGCCAGGCTGGCCAGCCCAGCTGGGTGTGCAGCAGCTGATGCCTATAAAGGGCTGTGAGGGCGGCAGAAGGAGAGGGAGGTGTGGTCCTTTCAGGGATGAGTGGTGTAGAGGGATATCTCTGGTGCTGGGCAGGTGTTTGTCTTCTGGGTCAAGCTGGCTTCAGGCATTAAAGGCACCTGCATGATGCTGGCTAGCTGGCCCACTGACTCCTGTCCTAGGGGAGGTGGCTCAGAGCCACCTTCTTCCCTGGTCTCCTTTGTGCCTGCTTCTGGGTTCAGCCCTCCCTGCCCCAGTGTGGTTCTGCATCTGCTTCACTGGGCAGAGTTAAGGTGATGTTGGAGGAGGGATCTGGCTGCTGCTGTCTGGAGCCGTGTCAGGTGCTGTGACTGTGGATACCTGCCCTGGGAGCTGAGTGCTGCTGATCTCCTTCCAGCAGTGAACAGTGGGGACCAGCACAAAACGTGACAGCTGGGCAGCCCCAGCGGGGTGATGGCTGGGGAAGATGTGCAGCCCCTCTACTAGTGCTGTGGCCTTGTTAATTTGGTTGACAGCTTCTGCTTAATGCAGTTTTCCCAGACCACCCAGATTTTGCAACACCTGGCTGCCTGCAGACCCTACAGCTAGAAGGAGAAAGCCTAGTCCTGCTTCTCCTCTGGCTTAATTCCCTTCAGCTGCTGATGTGGGCTGCTGCACCTAATTCAGCCCCTGGTGAACTAATCATAGAAACCCTGGTCCTCAGAGGCTGCAGTGAGCTGCCTGAAATACCCTGCCATCTTTTGTAAGGCCAGTTGCCCATGGTGAAGGTGTGCTTTGGGAGTGAGGGGACTTGGATCGTACTTCTTGTGTGTTTTACTGGTTCACCTGGTGACCATCCTTTGCACTAGGCCAGGAGGGCTCCAGTACCTGTGACATGTGTGGAAACTGGTGGATGTGTAAATCATGAGCAGCAACACTCTGCTGCAGCCTCCTCAGTGTTGCACAGTTGGCTCAGTCATCAAACCTGATCCTCCACAGACCGAGTTGGGAACTGTGCACGAGAGCTCCAAGGTAAGGCAGTCTCCAGACCCCTCCTCGCATGGAGGAGAAGGAGGAAGAGGAACAACACCACGGGGTGGCAACATCTAGAAGGAATGACTTCCCTCCCAGCTGCTCCTGCATCTCTGATCAGAGGAAATTGGGTGGGTGGTATGAGTCTATAAGCAAGGTGTCCTGCACAGGGACACAGTTTTTAGCAGTGCTGATGGATGGTATTCCCACCCCACAGGGCTGACCTCCTCTGGCTGTGTAAGGAAAATCTACTGCCCTGCACAGCTGGTTTGCACAGGCAGGATGAGCAGCATGCAGTGCTTGGAGCTCCTGCTGCAGTCCTTGCTGGGCTGGTGTCTTGGCAAGGTGGGTCCAATGGATCTGGCTACCCAGAATCTTGGCTGGAGCTGCTCAGAGACCTTCCAGAGAGCCAAAGATGGAGGCGTCAGAGCCCAGTGCCTCCCAGCTGCAGCTCAGCCTTCCTGGGTGTGAGGGATCAGAGCTGTTTCAGGACGAGCTCTGATGGTACCAATGCTTTCCTGCCCGAGTGTAGTTATACTGGGATACACAGTCTCAGGACTGTTTCCAACTCCCACGGGATTTTGGCAGGGTGGTGAGGTACCTGTGTTAACTTGTGGCCTCTCTCCTTCTGACAAATTCCCAAATTACATGACCTCGGGTCCCAACATCACCCACGTCATCTGTGTGAGGGGAACACTTGGTGACGAGGATGCCCCATGGAGGGGCTGGGAGTGCTCCTGCCCCTGGTACCAAGGTCACCGGGAAACACAGGAGGTGAGGCCCCTAAAAACCTCCCATCCTCCACTATCCTACAGCGGGTCCCTCACAGCTCTGCAGCCGTGTCCCCGCTCGCCAGCCAGAGACGGGAGATCCAGCCGTCCTCCGTGCCGGGGAAGCCGCTGTCCCTTGCCCAGGCTGCTCTGGCAGCGGCAGGTACGCGGCCCCAGCCCCGCAGCGGGCGGCCCCGGCCTGCGGGGCCGTGAAACTCCCCGAAAAACAGCGAATTCCCTGAGGCAGGAGAGAAGGGGAGAGCTGAGCAGGATGGGAAAGCGCCGGGACTACGGGAAGGCTGCAAGTTCCAGCTTCCCCGTCCGGGCGGGATCTTTCCTCCGCGGGTTTCCCCTCCCCGAAACCGATGCGGTTTGGCGGAGCCGGAGCGCCGCTTCCCAGGGGCCGCCTCCCCCCGCGGTACCGGCGCCCGGAGCGGACCGAGCCCTGCTCGGCGCCAGCGATCACCGGCGACGAGCCCTGCGGGGCAGCTCTCCGGCTTTCGGTTTTTTTGTTATTTTTTTTCCTCCTCGCAACACTCCTTTTCCTTAAACACTCCGGAGCAGCGGGAGCGGGGCGCCCGGGGCGATGCGCGGCGCGGGGGAGCGCATCCTCACCGGAGACCGCCCCGGGCAGAGCACCGGCTTTCCCAAAAACTCCCGGCCTGGGCTTCTCCTGGAAAGGGGAGTTAAGTCCAGCTGGTTTCATTACCGGGAGAGACGCTGTGGTGGGGCACCACCCTCTACCTTTTATTTTTTTTCTTTTCGTCTTTTTGGCTTTCAAGGAAAAGAAGGAAAAAAAGCCAGGGAGTAAAGCGGAGCCGGGGCGGCTGGGCCGTACACCCCGAAGCCGGGAAGCGCCGCCGGCCCCTCGAGGCGTGGCAGGGCCAGTGCCTGCAGCCAGGTAGGAAAGCGGGGAGGAAACTTATTCCGAGTGGGGTGGGGTGGAGTGGGGAGGGGAGGGCAGGGCAGGGGGTGGGGGTCGGGCAGGGAGGTATCAGCTCCAGGAAATGTGCCTTGGCAGCAGTCGGACGGGCGCTTCCCCGCAGGTTGGTGAGCTCCGCTCCGGAGCCGTCCAGGGTGTCGCGCCTTGCTCCGCAGCCCGAGCAGCCCCGGCGGCGGGGAGGCGGGGGGGGGACGGGACAGCCCAGGGAGGGAGGGCCCTCCACAAGACCCCCCAGGAGCGGACGCCTCTCCCGCCGGCTCCCCGTAGGAAGGCACCGCCCGGGCCGCCCCAGGTAAGCGGTCGAGTCCCGCCGACGGCAGCCCCGTATCCTCCCGTCCCGCGGCCGCGGGGGACACGGCTCCGATCGCCCCGCACGTCGGGGCCGCGGGGCTGGGGGGCCGCTGCGACCCCGCCCGGGACAGCGGCTGCGCAGCCGGAGCGGGGGCCCGGGGGGTTCTCCCGTTCGGAGGGAGGAGGGAGCGGGGCGCTGGGGAGCGGGCGGGCGGCCGCGAAGCCCCGACCGGGGGCGGCGGGGCCGGCGGCCGGGCTGAGCGCGGTGTGTCCGGGCTGAGCGCGGTGTGTCCGGGCTGAGCGCGGTGTGTCCGGGCTGAGCGCGGTGTGTCCGGGCTGTGTTGGCAGGCGGGCGGCGCGGCCCCTCGCCCGGCCGTCTCCCCACCATGCTGGACGGGCTGAAGATGGAGGAGAGTTTGCAGAGCGCCCTGGATCCCGCGGCCCCTTTCTCCTCGCTGCTGGGTAAGTCGGGGCACCGCACTTGCGCTCCCGGGGACCCCCCCTAGGGCGGGGCACGGCCGGGCGGGCCCGAACGATGGGCGCCGGGGTCCGGGAGGCCCGGGGACAGCTTTCACCAGCTCGTTCCTGCCCGCAGCCCTGCCCGGCGCCGCTGCCTTCTCCCGGGGAGTGCGCCCGGCGCCCGCCTTCCCCGCGCCCGGTTCGTTCCGCGATGGCATTAAATTGTGTGCCCTCCTAACCCCCACGTAGCGAAGGCCTTTCCTTCGTATCTAACAATAAATAATTTACTTTTTCTTTCTATCTTCGTTTTAATATCGGTTTGAAACAATTGCCGTCTCTCTGAGCCGCGGCGCCGCTGCCGCCTTTCCGAGAGGAACGAAATTGGGGGCGGCGTGCCCCCCTCGGAGCTGCCCTAAGGCACAGGTCCCCCGTGGATCCCGCAGCGGCTCCTCGCACTCCCCCGTCCCCCCGCGACCCACCAGCCTGGGCGGGGGAAGCGAAAGCCGCGGGACCCCCCCCCCATCCGTCCCTCGCCCAGCCCGTTTCCCCGGCTGCCTTTCCTTCCACCCATACCAACCCCTAGGTCTTTCCCCACAGGCAGAGCCGCGACCCCCAAGTCGGTGTGTGAAGGGTGTCAGCGAGTGATTTCGGACCGGTTCTTGCTGCGCCTGAACGACAGCCTGTGGCACGAGCAGTGCGTCCAGTGCGCGTCCTGCAAGGAGCCCCTGCAGACCACCTGCTTCTACCGCGACAAGAAGCTCTACTGCAAGCTGGACTACGAGAAGTAAGTGTTCCTCCGCCCCTGGAGAGCCCCCCCTTTCTCTGCTCCCAGTGTCCTGCTGATGGGGTGGGGAGACTGGTGTCCCATCGCTGCTCCCCACTTCCCCTGCCCTGTGTGTCCCGAGAGGTGTCAGCCCTTACTGTGCTGCACAGCGAGTTGTGCTTTTCCCCTGCAGTTTTGGTGCACCCTGGTTCTCCCCTCTTTGGAGGTGTTTTGTTGTGCTTGGGTTGTGCCTTGGGAGTTGAGGAATGTTTTGTCAGGAGCCTGTGAGACCCATGGAAACCCCAGGTCTACCCAGGGATGGAGCCAAGTGTTTTCCTATCTCCTCTGGCTTTATTTTCCTGCTGAGTGTCTGGAAGAGGAACGTTATATCCTCCCTGACCTAGTCCTGGACAAGGGTATTTTCCTAATATCTTTACAGGCAGGGAAATGCTATTCTTCTCTCCTGGGTCAGATGGGGAAACTGAGGCACTCGGCAGGAACTAAGGAAGGCCCTGCTGAATTCAGAATGTTGACTGTCACACAGGGCCTTTGCCTGCACCCGGGTCTGTGGTGGAGAGGAAATTTGGATGGAAGTGGTTAAAGCTTCCAGCCCCGACTCTCCCCCTTTGGCAAGTGTGGGGCTGGGGGGAAAGACAGTGAGAAAATTTATTTTTCCTTTTTTTAAAGAAAACCCGTTCCAGTGGGAATGGGGAGAAGGCCGCGGAGTCTTTCGTCTCCTGCAGCTGCTTTCGTTTTTTCCTGCTCATCCCGCTCTTGCCGTCCTTTCTGGACCCCACTCCCCGGCTGGGTTTCGAAGCCGTTAAATTTTTGTTGCCTCGGGGCTGGTTGTTTCTTGAGGAGGTTGTAGGTGGGGGGCTGGATCCCTCACTATGGTGATAGCAGGGCTGCTGGAGCCCGGAGGATTTAATTCCCATGTCACTGTTACACGAGAAAACAGTCGTCGGCAGTGCTCTCGTCCCTGGCCTTCAGCAAGTTGGCGAGTGTGCCGGGGGCTAACCTGGCTCCAGGCCTTTTTAAATTTGTTTTTTTTTTTGGTTTTTTTTCCCCTCCTTTAAGTCCTGTATTGTGGGTCTGAGTTTAATCACTATGGATACAAGGCAAATTGAAAGCAGAATTTGTGCGCGTGACCTTGTTTTCAAATGTTTACGAAAGAGCGGAAGAATTAGCTGCCGCCAGAGTGGGAAGGACGGAGCTGTGTTACGGGGTGGGTTTTTTGTAAGCAAAAATTTGTTGGAATTGGGCATGCTGCTTGTTTGTCCGTAGAAATTTGGCTACTGGCTCCCATACATTTCCAAAACAATCGAATTCTCATTTTCTGCTTGGAGCATCGAGGGGGAATTGGGGTGAATATTACCTAGAAATGCCTTTCCAGCTTGGTGCATGTATAGATTTTAATCCTGACTGCAGCTTCCGAGCTCTGGAAGCGGCTCCAACCTGAAACCCTCCGCTGATGTCTCTTGGCCATGAAAGAAATCAGTGCCGCAGTTGGTGTCTTGCTGTGCCCATCTCACTGTTGGGATGGACAAGGATGATTGCAGGAAAAAAAATGTCACAAATTATTCCCGGGCTCCATTTATCCTGGTTATTCCCCAGTTGTGTTTGGGTTGGTGACTTTTCCTCGAGCTGGGGAGCAGGCTCTCTGACGGGCGGTTTCCCTGAGGTGCGATGGTTTTAGCCCTGAACTGCCGCTGGCCTGTCCCCCTCCTGCACCCGCCTGCCCCTTGCTATCATGTTATTGTCCCCTTGAATTTAATTTTATTTCATTATTTTGGCATGGGGCTGCGGGTCTGTGTCCCTTTTTCTTCCATCACCCTGTCAGTGTTCTCTGCTGTGCCAGCGCTCCAACTCCTTACCTGGTGATGGCAAGGATGTGGAGCAGAGTCCCAAAGAACTGTTTGGGCTTTGCCGAGCTTTACATACTACTCTGTATTTAACAAAAAACATTCTTTCTTTGCCCAAACTGCCTGTCCTGTCTTAGGCCTGAGCATTTTCCCGGGTGCAGGAGCTCTGTGCCTGCTCCGCCTGCGGTGCCGATGTCGATAACGGGGGTTTCAGTGTGAAACACGCAGAGCAAGAGCTGCTGCTCTCAGACTGAGCTCATTATCTCGAGCTGATAGCTGGTTAATTACCACAAGTGACTGACACTCCTTGTGCAGCGCAGTGGTGTAAAAGCAGCCGATGGTCCCTGCGGCAGCGGCGTAGCCGGGCTCCCGAGGCCTCTCCGTGGACACAGTGGAGCTCGCCGGGTGGGAGGGCTGGGGTGTCTGTGTGTGAAATGCTCGGGGTGTTGGGGCAGCGGTCAGGATCCAGCCTGCCAGTGTTGTGGTGTTGGTGTTTTGGTGTTTTGGGTTTTTTTTGTTTTGTTTTGTTTTGTTTTTGTTTTTTTTTTTTAATTCGAAAGAAAGGATTTCTCTTCCAGATGGTGACTGTTGGGGTGTTTTGCCCAAGATGAGTCCGCTCGGTATTTTCCAATATGTTTCTTTACTCTCTGTTTGAGCTCAGTTTGTAACAAGGTTGCAGAGGATTAATGACAGAGTGTAAGAGGGCAGAGTAATGCCTTCAGTTACAAATACACCCATGGAAAGTGTTACAGATGGGTTTAAGCAAGCATCTGACTTGCTGGACTCTAGAAATTGAGGAATAATTTGTTAAAACACATGTTTTACATTTCTTTGTCTGACACAAAGAGGAAGACCTTGGGAGAGGACTTGGAGAGCGATGGACTAAAGACTGAGGATGCCAGGCTAGCATTGCTTTGGGGTGCTGCAGCGCAGGACCCATGGGCAGTTCGGATAGCGATGCCGGCCAGGAATGTGGGGAATTGGGGGTCACTCTTGGAGCAGTTTCCCCAGCGCTGGTTGGGAGGACTCCTGGAGAGGGACGGCTCAAGCCTGTGCCCCTGGGACAGCGTCTATTTGGGGCAGAGGACGTTCGTTACAGAACATCCCGAATCCCGCGACAGCCCCCGGCGCTTGTCCAAACCTGATAACTCTCAACTATGACAAGGTTCAGGCTTCGCCCTGGCCGGCTCCCTGACTGTAAAGTGGCCCTGGGGACGTGCCTCGGCCGTGGGGCCCCTGTGGTGGTGGTCAGGGGAATGGGCTTTTGTTGTGGCAGATTTGGGGGGCAGTATTAAACCTGGCCATAAGTGGGGAGGAGTGCTGGAAGCAACGGGAAGAGCTGGACTGCTCCAGAAGCTTAAAATCTGCATGGGGACAGGAATGGCTGAGCCCTGCCTGCCTAGAGGTGTTTCACAGTGGGTTTGCATGGGCCAAACAGAGCCAGAGCCATAGGGACGACCTGGAGCCACAGGGGCAACCCCACTGCAGGTGATGCCAGTGGTGTGCGGAAACCCCGCCGGCCGGTTCTGGGGGCTGGGAGCGCTGACAGCGGTGCGGTCGTGACGGGGGGCGCAGCTGGGGAGCGTGGCGACGGCGGGACGGCTTGGCACATCCCCAGCCACGGCGCAGAGCCCCGGCCCCAGCCCCGGCTGGCAGGAGCAGATGGCCAGCACATCTCGGAGCAGGCCTGGCATGTGGGCGCCGGCAGTGGAGGGGCGGCTGCAGCCCCTGAGCCGCCACCGCCATGCCGGGCTCCCCGGCCGAGGGAGGCAGTTGTGTGATGCTCGCCCTGTCTTCGCACGGCTTGATGGCTCTGTGCTGTTGCCAGATTCTGCGCCGTCATCACAAAGCTCCCCTTGCTTAGCTCCAAAATCCCCTGCTCCCGGAGTCGTGGGGTTGCATGGGTGCCTCCACCTCCTCCTTTGTGAAATAAAATGAGAAGTCGCATCCAATTGCAAAGGAAAAAAAAATAAATCCTTCCACCCTCTGACCGTGAACACAAAAGAGCATACGTGCAGAGAAACCCATCAGTGTTGGGTTTTAAAATCACATCCAGGATCTTCATATGAAGGAATGAGCCTGAATCCCTGGCAGTGTGGTCCTGCCAGACTGTGGATGGATCCTCTGGCTTGGGGCAGTGCAGTCTCCTCTCACCCGCTGGAGGCTCCTCTGGCAGCTGCTGCTGTAGAGGAGAGAGGGGGAAGAGGTTTGGAGCATGGTGGCTGTTTATCTTGCTTAACGTGGGTAATGAATGTAATTGCGCAATTAGCTGCAAACCTTGGCGCTGCTTCCCCAGCCCGGAAGGGCTGTGAGGGGATAATCCCAAACGGATTGAACGAAGAAGGTGATGCTGAACACTTTAGCACAGCCTAGTCCCACCAGCTGGAGAGTTGCTGTGGTCTGATGGGTTTGTCCTGATGATTTGCAGTCCTCTGCCTTCGCTCGCCTGGAGAAGTGGGACTTTTTGCGCTTTTTGTGACTGATGGGAGAGAGTTGTCCCTCCAGGGAGCCACTGGTCAGCCCAGCTAGAGTGCAACAGTAGGTCCTTTTCCCTTCTTGTAGGGCAGCCTGTGGAGAAGATGATGCTAACTTGGGTTTCTCCAGCTGTCCAGGCACTGGGAACAGTCGGGCTGGTCTTGATGGGGTAACAGAGCACATGCCAGCTCTGTAGCACAAGGTTTCTCTTGCTGATCTTTCTTTTCCCATCCCTCAGTCTTTTCTTCTAGTGCTTTCCTTGCTTCTTGCCTGCTCTCCATCCCCACCTAGCACCTCATCTCCTGTAGCAAGCACCTCTCTGTCCTCGCCCACATCTCCTGGAGGAAGTGTACCAACCCTTTGTGGGCTGGGATGAGTGTGGCTGTGGGGCAGCTGAATCTGGCCTCCCCCCCACCGTGTTTGGTATGGCTGGGCTGGGACAGGCGCTGGTCCTTTGTTTTTTAAGTTGCCCTGTTGTGCCAGTGGGGGGTGGAAAAGCAGGGAAGCAGTGGGATGCAGCGATGAGAGCGGCATTACGGAGGCCGCTGTGGGATCCACTCTGGAAATGCCAGGCAAGCAAAATACGCCTTGCCTCTGTCTCCACCAACCCCTGTCCTCCTGCTCGTGGGGCTCCCCCTTTCCAAAGGGAGCGGACAAGTGATTTGGCGTCTTGTCCCTTCTCTT